GGGCCTTTTTTCGACAGATTTTCTAGGTTTTAAAAGTGGCTTTGGAAAATTTGATGTTTGGTGCACGTGGACTTGAATGGCCGTGTCGAGCGTAGTAAGTCACAGAAAAATCATAAAATCAGTGCATGGGGGCTGATTTTGTGTCGAATCCGATGCATGAGTACTTCGTCCGTGCTGGGTCCGCTGACACTGCTCAGCTTCTGCCCTGCTAGGCTTGTGATTGGTCGTATGGTAGCGAGCTGAGTACTTCCTGCGGGCGGCGACCGCTGTGTGACGTGGGTCGATGTGGTGTGTACAGTGATTGACTACGTTCGAAACGTAAATAATTTCTCTATTTTAAAAAATCGTTGAGAAATGGAAATCTTATTTTAATTTTTAGTGTGAGCTGAGGTTTAAAAATGAAAAAAATTACTAATTACTTCTAAACCGCAGGTTCTGCTAATAAAAAGGCCAGAATAATAACGGACACAAAAACAGAACAGAGAAAAATAACGTAGGACTTGGTATTTCAGACTTCTGGACCCAGGATAAAAAGATTTTTTGCTATAAAAATGAAAGGCTCCGTGTTTACAAAATGAAACTTGTCTGTACGCCTTGCAGAAAAGTTGGAACTCTTGGAGTTGAAACGAAAATGGGAATAAAACTTTCCAAGGATGGACGAAGAATGAAATAATCTGTTCTGGCGAAAATACAGTTGAGCTCACTACGAAAAAAAATTTTGCTCATTAAATCTGTTGCACATAAAGCAGCATTAAAAATTGTTACTGAAAACGAAAAAATGACTCTTGAAAATGTTTTTTAACGTCAATATCTCAGAAAAAATGATAACTGCAAAAAATGCAGTCGAATTGCATGCAAAGTAACAAAGGAAAATCTACCATTTCATCATTTTAAAACTGAAATTGATCTGCACGAACTGAATGGAGTTGGAATTGGTCGTATTCTTCATTTTACAAATGCCTATATTAACATTGTCAATCAAACAGGTGAAAAAATGAGCTAAAACTGTGGCTAAAGAAATTGTTCAATCCAAAAATAAAATTTCATTCATAATCGATGAATCAACCACAATAAGCAAAAGATTAAATTTATAGTACATTGTCGATGCTGTATCGAAGGTGTTTTAATGAATTCAGCGATATACTTGATTTTGGAGTTGGTAGAACTAGAAAAGTAACGGCAAAAGGAGTATTTGATTCTTTACAGCAGTCTTCACTCCAATGGGATGACAAGATTATTCGGAAAAAAATTGGTTTCTCTGGCGTGCGAAGGAGCTGTGATGTTAGGGTGTAAAAGTCGAGTGAAAAAAATTGCTGTCACAATGTTTTCCTTATATTATAGTTTTGCACTTTGCTAATCACAGACTTGAATTATCAGTAGCTGATGCTATCACAAAGAAAATTTAAGAATAAATAGATTCAAATCATTTATTGATAAACATTACTCACATAACAGCGTCGGCAAAGAATTGTAGAGGGTTGCATTTATGTGTAGAATTACTAGGGGCCTAGCTGATGAAAATTTGAAGAATTTTTAAATACCCTCCGGGTGTCATCTAGTTTACGTACAGTTTTGGCTGTGTGGAATAATTTTGAATTTTTTGTGCATCATTCTGAACAAGGAATGCATGATCCTGCAAAAGATAAAAATGATATATGCACTTATGATGGCTTGAAAAGAACAATCACATTTACAGAACCTTTATTGAACCTAGGATTGATTGATGCTCTCCAAGAATTATCAGAACTATGTTTGCACTTAGTGGACCATAAAATGGGCCTCACAAAATAAATAAGAAAATAAAAATTCTGGTAGAACTTTTTGAAGAAAAAAGACATAACTCTGGGTCCTGTTATAAATCTGCTGTTGCTGTACGCTACCTTCTTACAGTTTAGTAGAATTAAGTAAAATTTATGCAAAATTGAGAGTCAATCGAAAAATGATTGCTTCATATCAAAGACGATGAGTTGGCGTAGTGGACTCGCGTACTTCATCAAAAGCATTTGGCCAGAAGACGTTGATATTGAACTGACATTTGGAGAAGTGGAAACTGGAAATTCGTCAATGAGACTGCAATTAATGAAAGAGAAATGATTCGTGGATT